CAGCACAGAATGCAGAGTCCTGCATATCTGTATCTCCCAGCATCCAAGCTTCTGCTTTGTCAAGGACCAGGAACCCTTAGGATGCCATCTCCTATCTTCAAGCCACATGTCAGACTTACCAGAATTTTCTGATGTTATGTGGTCAAGAAATAGATCTAATAGGGAAGCTGGCTCAGCAGTGATCTTGCCTGTTCTTAAGGTCCTTCAGCAAAGAATTCTCTGAACAGTCTTTATTTTTTATTTCATTATCTATAAAACTAAATTAATTTCTAATTAGAAATTAATTTATAATTTTTTTCAAATTTTTTAAAAACAACTTTTATGAAACAAATTTTGCTTTCTCATTGGAACATTTTTTTCTTGTCCAACCATAATATGATTAGGAGAAAGAAGGGCATCATTCATGTCATAACTTTTGTAGTGGTCTGTATCAAAGTTCCTTGGGAGCTCTTTAAAGCTAGTGGTGATAGTGCTCCCCTCTACTCATGAATCACTAAAGCAAATTTATGAATGCAGATGCATAAGAGCACATTCTTTCTTAAGTCTTCTTTTTGCCCGTGCAAGTGTTATTTTATGTGCTGGATTTGTCCCTATGGTGCAACAAGTTCTTCCACACATTAGGATATTTCTGCTTTATAAATCTCTGTTAGTCAGCACTTCAGTGATGCCATTGTTTTTCTTGTTGCCGGTAATTCAGCCTGATAAGGAGCAAACTCTGGGCGGATGGAATTGACTCTCTTCTCTTTCAATCCTGAAGTTGGGCACTGTGTTGTCCTTCAGAGCAGCTTGTTAAGTGTAAATGAAAATGGAAGCAGTGTGGAGGATGTTGTATGGCATCTGGGCACCTCTTTGGTTCCCAGAATGAACTTGAAGTTTTCACCCTTTTTTGTGGGGAACTGAATCAGGGAATCTTTTCTAAGCAAGAAGTTTGAAACCTCTGACTGTCCCATTTATTGTGAGTTAATATTCTGGAGCCCCACATCCCTCTGCTTCGCCAGGCTGTGATGTACCAGTAGTCAAAGCTCAGCCTTTCAGACAGGCATTTTACCACTGAGGAAACAGAGACTTTTTTCCTCCTAAGTGATTCCTCATGATCCTTCCTTAATGCTTCACCATAGTTCATGCCTTACCGACTTCTGATGAGTTATCTTTGATGGTTACGATTTCTCTGATACACAAACCCTAGAGCTTTTGCATGTCCATGGTCGTTAGATACAATGAGTTCAGCATCATCTGTTTCTGTGTTACAATGGGCAGGTCTTTCCTATCACTGAATCTTTTTTTTTTTTTTTTTTGTGCAAAGAAGAGTTTGAAAGGATTTCTCAGGAACGATTTCAGCTCACATGGAAATGTTTTGTTAAATGATGCTACACTTGGATTTTTTTCCTAAAAAAAAACCTGATAGCTGTGTCAGAATTTTGTAGAAATGTTCATGATAAGAATGTTTTTAAAATTAGCTTTTGCAGTGCTGCCTGGTCACAGTTCCTTTAAGCAATTAAGTAGGCAGAGTCCATGGAGCTATTCCTGTTTCTAAAATTGTTGGGGTTCAACGATCCAGTCTGTATCACTTGGTAGAATTAGTGACTATATGTCAAAATCTTGGGGACCTTTGTTCAAAATGTGCTGGTTATAGCTAATTAAAATTTTCCTCTCTACCTCCTAGTTTTAAAGATTCAGCACCAAAATATATCTGGAAGTCATTAACTTTAGTTTGCCCTTTTACTTGCTTTCTTTTGTCTTGCAAGCTCACTTCTTTTCCTAAGTCACCTGAATGCGCAGGAGGACAACTGTGATCTTTAAAGTGAAGAGAGATTACTGCACTTAGTATGTTGTGGTTTTAGTTTTTTTAAAGGACATTCAGAACATTAGTGTAGGTGGTTTTTTTTTAAACTACATGTGTACTTAAAACACTTTGGAAAATGCTGAAATGTACTTAAAAGAAAATTACCTTCTGAACTATGTCCCTAGACTTTAGATTCTTCCCCTAGAACAAATTATATGGTTAGCTTCCCTGGAAACTTGTTTTTCATTTTTAAATGTATCCCTCTTTTAGATGGACATTTAAAGGTGGACATTTTAGCAACGTGTTTTCCTTTTGTTTTGGTTTGGGTTTTTTTTCTTACACACACTTACTTCATGTGCTCTTCCAACCCACATTTTGTTTCTCTTTGGCACCGAGAGACTGTTACATAATATTTCAAAAATACAACAGTGTTCTGCTGTAATAGTCCAAAAGGCTACAGCGTGCATTTTTGCAGAGGTTTAGGATGATTGCAGTAGAATGGTGTATTGTTTTTGATAAGGCCTGTTTTTGGAGAGTTCTTAAATGCCTGTTTCTCTGCTGTTGGCCTCTCCTCAAGTTTCTAATAAACAGGACTCTACAAGGGAGTGGGTGACACAGCTTTAACTTGTGTCACTTCTCAGATACAGCACTTCAGTTTCTTTGAGGAGAACAGCTTAAAGAAAAGAATGCTCTGGAGGTACCACAGCTGCATCATTCATTAGTTCCTGTTTACATGCTTGGTAATGATACGCTATATTTCTATGTAATAACTTAGCATTAGCCTAAGTGCAGTTAATTCTACAATCATTCACACTGATGTAAATGAGACATAGTTCCTTGTAGGTCAGTGTAGCTGCTGCAAGGTGTATAAGGGGAGAATCCAGCCTGCTAGAACAAGATGTGGATGTATTTTAGAGTGCTGCATTTTAACTGATGGATATCCAGCCTAGGAGCTGTATTTAGGTAAAGTGCATGAAAGATTCAGCTCCTGAATGGTTAGTTCCACTGTTTGGAGTAGGTGTCAGCACACTCTGACTGCAAATGACTATGAGACAGGCCAAGGTGTGACCTGAATGTGGACACTTGCAGTATCATCTTCTTGAGTTTTGAAGAGTAACTCTGAGCTCGTGACTTGTCCTTCTCTGTCAGTCTCTTTTGCGTGCATCTATTTAGTCATGTGTTTGCTTGTATGTATACATACCAGGCTGTAGGGATAAAGCTGATACGTGTCTTTGATTTTCCCCTGGTGTGGGAGCTCACTTTTTCTGTTAGCTTCAAGCTTTGCAACATTGCCTATGTGGTACACAGCCGTGGTAGACAGTGTGCAAATACTTAAGTCAGATGAATGAGTAGTTTGTATCGGGAGGTCTATCTGTGGTTATATTGATACCAACAATTTAATTGCTGTGCAGGAATCAAGTGGATCTGCAGTCTTGTGGTACCCTACCTGGATCAAGTCCATCTCCTGCCTCATTCCCTCTGCAAGGTGCCCGTGCTACAGGCAAATGGAGAACAGTCAGGGTGTGATTTATGGTAATGTCTAGGAAGCAAAAAATACATCTGCATGCCTGAGTCTCCCTGAAGTAAAGAACATCCCCAACCAGGCCAGAGAATGCACTCACTGTATAGTCCCTACTGAGCACCACTGCTCCTGTGTGGTGCCAGCTGCCACTGCTAGCTTTAGATTACTGTCCCCTCTCCAGCTAACTCTTGGAGCGGGGCTGGAGAAGTGACATACAACCAGCTCTTCTTCATCCGCTGCTGCTCGTGGTCCTGCGGTGATTATACTCCAGGCAGATTCAGAACCATGTCTCTTAAAATGCAGCCGTGGGTATTGACTAACAAACTGTTAGTGCAAGCTTTGGTGCACAGAGTCTACTCTAAAATGGCATTTGCTTCACTACTGCACGTGTAGTAGGGTTTTAACAAGTAATAGATTACAGAATAAAGTTTCTGCTGACTCTCCCCTGGGAGTCAGCTAGACAAACAACGATTGGGAAATCTTAGTTGATAATCATTTAAATGTTTTGTTTCTTCATTTCATCTTTTTCCTTGGGCAATTTTGCATTATCCCAAATAGTTCCTTTCATTCCTCAGTGCTTGTGTTTCCCAAGTATTTGTAAATCACTACCCAGTCTTCCTTTCCCACAGGCATTGCTTATCCTAACTGTTGACTGAAAATCAATCCCTCCATCTAATGACTCTGTCACTGTTCTCTGAACTCTTTCCATTTTACATTATCCATCTGGCAGCAAAATGTCCAAAACTGCGTGCAGGCTGCAGATGTGGTAGCTTCGTAGCTGTTGAGGCAGGGATCTGTTACAAACCATTTTATGTCAGGATCTAGCTGTTTCTGGGATCAGTGCTATGAAAGTATTAAGGTCATTTGCCCCTAGCTTCTCTGCCCGGGACACCTCAGTGTAATGAGAGATTTGTAATATAAGCCTACTGAAGTTGCGTTGTTTTCTTTACCCCACACCCTATACATTTTTTTGGCTTTTCTACACCCACAAACACTTTTCAGGCTCTCATTCTCCTCAGAAATATAAGGCTTTTCAGGCTCGGGATCTGACTGCTCTCCCCAGTCTGCTGTTGGCAAATAAAAGCTAGCAGGTTGCCAGGCCAGGCCAGCTGGGATGTGTGAGAAGGGACCCTCTGCTCTGGTTCCCTGCCCTGCCGCTGCTGTGTCCCCATTCTGTAGGAGTCAGAATGGAACGGTGATGCGTGACCGTCATACTATTTTCTCCCTCGGTTTCCCAGCGTAAGGAGCAGCACGTTTTGCTTGTGCTTTCCCAGCAATACCCCACAGTCAGGCTCCTGCCCTAAGCTGCCTGTGCAGCTCTTGTGTCCCTCTCTGCTGGGTCGTTTTCTGCTGTTTCTAGCCTGCCTCCCCCTGGCCCGAGGGGAGAGGAGGTGCCTGTGTATAGTCACTGTATTTACATCGGGAGGCTTGGGCAGGAGTGGAAGCTCTGTATGTAGCAATGTCTCACTGCCTAGCATAGACTCATTGGGTTTCTCCTGTCCATTGATGATCTATTTGAGATGCTGCATCTAGTGGTTATGAAAACAAAGAAAAAAAAGAAAATAAAATTGCAACTGCACTTGCAGAAATGTATTTTCAGGAAAAGTATTTCTGTTTTCATTTGTGATATCACAAGTTTACAAAGTGGTTTGTTTTTTGTTTTTTGTTTTTTTTTTTTTTCTTTCAATTTAACAGGTTATCACTGCTAGCTTATCACCGTTCTTCTTTGTCACGACTGCCAATGTACTAACAATTTCCTGGTAAGTGCCTATGTGAGCTTTTTTCTTAACAGTAAAAATCAGTTTCCACATAGTGCTTCATGTGGAAATACTTTTTAAATGTCAGGTTCTTTTAGTGCCAGTAATATTTTGCATGTAAGGAGAACCAGGTGTGCAGTGATGGCTGCGGTACAGTAATACAAATAGAAGAGTGTTTCTTCTTCCTCTGTGGGAGAACACAGACATTTTGGACATTAAGCCTCACCACAATTCACTCAGCATGTTTTACAGCTAGACAAATGGATGCAATAGGCAAATAAATGACCCATTCAAAGTCACACTATAAATTAGTGGTGGAATTGGAAATAAAACACAGGAGTCATGGTTTGGTGACAGCATCTTTTTAACCAATGGAATGCATTCAAGTTTCCCTAGCGCAGTATGTACTGTGAATGCATAAAATTAAAATAGTAGAAATATAACGATAATAAACTTTTTCCAAAGCTGCATCTGGATTTTGTAATGTGTGGCCACACATTACGAATCACATAACCTGAATTTCTTAGGTGGTAATATAAAGGACTGAGGTGCAAACTCCTTTGGTCAAAGACAATGGTTTTGGTCTGTGTTTGTATAGCACCCAGTGAAAGGGAACCCCAGCCCATGGCTGATGCTCCTAAATGCTTCTGCCATGCAAATAACTACTAAATACGGGGTTAGGCATGTATCTCTGAGGATGGATTTGTTATTGGAAATAAAAATCTGCTTGCTTTTGAAAAGCTTTGAGCTTCCTTTATTCTCCTTACAGTTTGATTGCCATCCTAAAGATTCAGCTCTGCACTGAATGGAATTAGTGTATTATTTTTCCAGGTGTGATAAATCTCAGGAAGAAGAATCTTAGTTTAAACTAGCCCCATATACATATGTGTGAATATGTATCCCTGTGTGTATGTTAGGTGCATGTAGTCTCAAATACTAAAATAAGTCATGTATTTTTTTGAGCTCTAGCAATACCTTTATGTGGCCTGTGTGTGTAAGAGGCTAAACTAATGTCAATGCAACTACAACACTCCTAGTCTAGGCCATTAACTTGCTGCTCTTCACCATGTTTTGCATGTGTTTGTGCAGGTCTATCATGTGCGTGCTAGAGGTAGGCTTTTATAATATGTATGTATTCACTGACATTTTTCCAAGAAGTCATGTGTACCTTTGTTAACGTGAGCACAGGGACCCGAATAGTTGCACACGCGACATGCCCTATATGCACTGCCTCTGAAAGTCATATAGATGATAAACACATCTGTATCTTTAAAAGAAACTTCGCTTTAGCCCTTGGGCCACTGTTATGCTTTGATTGTCATGATTCAAAAAAGGTAACCATTTCTTTTATTTACTTCTGTATTTGAGTTCTGTTATTGCTTGTGCATCAGTAGTGCTTTGGCTTATCAGCAAAGCTCTGGAAGTAGTTTGCTAGATGATAGCAGCTGCAAAGCACTCATGAGATCATTAATCACTTGAGTTTTTTAGTGTTGCTCCAGTGTTGTCATGGACAATATTGTATGTTAATATCTGAATGATGGGCAAACGCAGTTAGCTGTCACCCCACAATAAACAGAAGCTGGAATATTTGCCAGATGGTAAATTGAAGGTAAATCAAGGGTTGGCATTTAGCCATGTTTTTTGCTCTGCTTCATCTTGAAGTTACAACGATGGTTTCTGTTGGCCTAGTAATTTGAATTACATGAGCATGTGAATACCTGGGACTTCAAATGCTTCAGAAAGGGATTCCTCTTCTCTGACATAAGATATTAAAGAACAATTTAGATGCCGGCACCTTTCTACAGAACAGGGCTGTGCAGTTTACTATCTTTTGTACATAATTGCCAGTCTAATTTTTAGAGTGATACATCAGACGTAGGTTTCTTTTTTAAAGTCTCTGTTAAAAATGTTATAGAAAACACATCTGTACAAACGAAAAAAAAAAAAAGAAAAAAGAGTAATTTCTAAGGCTCTGTTGGTTTTAGGTCTTGCTATATGCACTTGATTTTTTTTTTTCCTTTAGGATAAAGAATACATTATCCAACCTTAACTTCCAAAGGAGTTAATGCAGAGGTTATGTTTGTAACTGGAGCTGAAATCTGGGCAAGACATGGGGGTTAACCTGCTCTAGAGAAAAATGCTCAGGGGCTGTTAGTGATTACAGGCGAACAGACTCACGTGTTTTAGATCTTTTTGAAAAGCTTGCAGCATTTGCAGCCCTTTGCTCCTCGCTGATAATTCCACACCCAAAGATATTCTGTCTCCACAGTCGACTGTCTACAGACTGTCTGTAGCACCTACTTTCCAGGGCTGTTCACTGTGTAACTGTAAGATTTTGTACTCTTGTTATACAATGTTTGTTCCTCTTGGGAACAGGGGCAATTATGTGATTTTTAAAACAGCTTACCAAAGCTAAGATTTAAGGGAATGTAATGCTATTAAAGACCAGAGATCCTTCAGCTTTACATGCTTTTTTTTTTTTCCCCAAGAAAAAAAAAAAGCACCCTCTTACAAATGAACTTAACAGACTGGTTTTTTTGTTTATAAAGTTCATTAAGGAGCTTTTCTGTTTCATAAGCTAAATAAGCCATGAGGCTAAGATGGAAGGTCAGTTCCCTTAGCTTTGCACTGTTGTAAAAGGGGAGAAGAGCCGGTATCCTACCATATTCCTGTCAACTACGAGAGGCAGCAGAGGAGATTTGGGGATTATTAACTATTGCATGGATTGAATGGGTCGACAGCCTTTTTTGATGAATGGTTTTGTTTGTAAAACCATTCATGCTGATTTGGAGCCCTGCTTCCAGCCTGGCTGCTGGGGAGAAGCGTTAGTGCCACCCCTGCGCTGTGAGCAGCACAGGGAGGGCGCGCGTGGGCACACGCGGCATTTCGGCTGGGACAGGTTCTTTCACCAGGTGCCTCACAAAGAGAGCAAACGGGAATTTCTACCAGCCTCACTACACCAGTGGGATCTCCCCAAAGCAAAATTCTTTTTCCCCATTTCCTCAGTCCCTAAAACCTAGGCTTTACATCTCCTCCCGACTTTGTCAAGAGGCAAGTTTTCAGGACAGAACACAAACAGAAATTGCAAGGGGGAATCATTAACCTAACGATGTTCAAACTCTCTTGCCTTTCCTATTCTTGCTAGCGGGTGTGCAGCTTCTCTATCTAGATTTCTGTCTGTATATTTTCACTTGAATGCCACCAGCCCTAAAATATAGGAAGGGTAGTTTCTGAGGAGATGAGTTAAATAAGACATTTCTGGTTTCAGCCTTTTCTTAGCAAGATGAATGAAAATGTCACCTGGGTTACTGTCTTTAGGTTGAAATGTATTTAGACAAAATAATAGCTTTCTCTTAATGTTGTGCTGTTTGGCATTGTATCAAATAGAGGGACTTGCCTGATGCTAAATTCGTGTTATACTTTGTTTACAGCCTTGTGATCAGCGGAGTTGGAGAAGCTTTGCTTGTTTACACAGAAAGGATGGGCACATAAAGAGGGACCAGATCTCACCAGCTGGAAAAAAGCTGACTTGCAGCCTAGAGACCCTATCATGAATAAAATGCGGCAGCAGGAATGAAGAAGTGCAACCAAACATGAGGAAAGAGACCTATTGTTTTTTTTTATTAAGAAAGAAAAATTACTCTATTAATAGTGCTGGTAAGTGAGCAGTGCATAGTTGGCAGGATGGTTAGGAGCCTTTGCCTCAAAGCACAAGACAAACTATTTCTGATTGATGTGGTAAAGGAAAAACTGCACTGTCTCATGCTGATGGCTCTGTGTGAGAACCTCGCAGTAGCAGCTTCTTGCACAGGGAGCTGAACTCAGGAAAAGCAGCATTCCCCACAGGATGCCCCCAGTTTTTTTGTTGGAAGCTGACAGCAGGTTGTACCAAACAATGTCAGTGCTGAAATCCTGCCATGAATTCAGGATCAGGAAGGATGGATTTTGTCTCCAACTGTTCCGTAAGCAGCAAGCTGCTGCACACAGGTCTCTAGTCACGTCATCTGAACTGGCACAGTGACTGAGGCCGTGGGGCTTCTGGAGATAATCCCCTTCTGGAACTGCGGCGATTTGACAGCTTTGCAGAATGAGAAAATCAGCAATAAATCTCAGTATCTGTAGTGATTGCTCTTTGTGTATTTTTTACCTCTCCCATTCTCTGAGATTTCTCTTGAAATCTGCAAATTTTTTCAGCTGGAGGGGGTGGAGGGACACATACTGTTCCCAGCAGTGCTTTGTCTCTTAAATTATTGCAAGAGGCAACAAAGATTATGAACCCTGAATGAGTGTCATAAAGAGTGTAAGGCAATTCATCTCAAGAATTCTTAAAATAATTTAATTTCTGGTTGCTTAGTGGCTATTAGAAATTAGTCTTGATATATTAGTGCCTGGGAAAGCAATCTATGTGAAAGTAATAATAAATGTAGAGTTGATAATATTGTGGGGAAGGTCTACATGGTAAAAGGAGCTTGATAACAAATCTTTGGTGAGGAGAAGGACTTGTCTCACAAGATATTAGATAGCTAAAGTTTAGTCCCTTAATCTAAGTTGACAAATTTTCCTTCACAGTCAGTGGAAGGAGAGGGGTGCCCTCACAGAGATAATTCTTATTTAATCAATTGCTGTGTTAATATGACGGAAGGACCCTCTGGAAGTGCTTATCTCTCTGTAGATGGAAACCAGGTGACTAGTCTAGACAAGACACATGGTTTTTAGAAGGCTACAGTTGGCAGAGGCATATCTGCTTCAGTCTAACAAATTCCACCAGCTGGGTTTTAAAGTATGGCTACATTTTAACTTCAAATAAACACCATAGTTTAACAAAGAAGGAAAATTTTGCAGAGGATTGCAGTCAGTTTCTATGACTGGAGAGTTCTAGGTAAAGATTAGTTGGTTTTCAGAAAAAAATGCTGTAGTTTAGAAAAGTACTCTGGCCTGTATTGTACCTAAGCTTACAGCAATTGCAAGGGGTCTGTTTATACTGGCATGTTGTCCATGTATGCTGGGTCACTCTCTGGCTTGAGTTTGGAGTGAGCTATTTTCTTGCCAGGTGGTAAAACTCAGGTTTGGGAAGAAATGTGGAGGGAGAAAGACGAGCATGAAAGAAACGCATGCTTGAACTTGAGCACCAGTCCTGAAGCCAACATGAGCCACATGGCACGGGGAGCTGAGCCCGTACTCAAGCCCAGTGGGCCAAGACACGGCCAGCCGTGGCCCCTCATGGCCTTCCAGCCTGTGAATTCAGACGGTGCTGGCAGTGCTGGCTGCAGCATGCTGGCTTTCCCCAGACAACTAGCTTTGCCAGCCAGCCATGGCAATATGGTAGGATCCTTGCCGTGCCACCTCTCTGCTGATTCTGAACAGACTGGTGACCCTGGGAGACCTCATGAAAGAGTCCCTGTGTGATAGCTGGGGTTTTGCAATTGTAGCTGGAACCTTTGCTGTGGGAAAAGATCATTGTGTACCTCTCTTCTTGCATAACTTCCAAGGGTAGGTTGCAGTCTGGATGTTTTTTTCTTCCTCTCTCTTGTCTGTGCTGTTCATAGCAATATACCAAAGCCCAGAACACACCATTTGCTTTCTTGCTGGTGGTTTCAGTGGAAATCCAGTGGCCAAATTAGCAGCCAGTGTTGCTGTAGCATTTTAATTGCAGAGGGCACGCTTGGGGCGGCTGCGGGAAGGTTGTTTGGCTGCAACAGGCATTGTGTTGTCTGGGCTCTGGGGGAATTCAGCCTCTGCAGCTGCTGAATTAGTATCACCCTGCATAGTAAGCCCGCTACCTTTTTATTTAACTTCATGCATGTTAAACAACACTGAGCTGTTTGCTTCGGCTTTCATTTTTGTGCCTTGGCGCAATGTGCTTGTGTTTCTAAGATTCTGCTTGATATAAGTAAAATACTGCAGGTTTAAATTGATTGGCATATAAGTAAATCAAGGAAGCAGAGTTAACAGTGAGGTTGGGCTCCTCTGTCAAGCATGGCTGGGAAGAAAAAACACCCTCTGAACTGACCTGACCTGCTTCAGGTGAGGATGACTCCTGCAGACCAGCATGAGGCTCATCAGTCTTGCTGAAGTAGGGTGGAAGCGGAGCTTGAGAGCCTTCAAAATCCATCTGTGCATATTCAGAGTTGTCTCAGGGTGCTAAAGGCGTTGCCCCCTGTGAGCAGTCAGAGAGTTAGCCCTGCTGTAGGGGAAGAGGTTGGGGAGAGAGGGCCCTTTGGAGGGATTCTGGCTGCTGGGACAAGCGGTGCCTTTATCAAGGTGTGTGTGCGAGGGTGAGGCTGTCAGCCGGGAAACGGGGAGCTAGAGCAGTTGAAAAGCCCTGAGATGGCGTCTCAGCTGGCAGTTCAGAGCAGGCCTGCCATACAGATCTAAAGGTGAGCCGGGGGAGGGCACCTGCGGGAAGACCCTGGCTCCCCCCCACTGCCCTTGGGGAGGGGCGCGTCCCCACCAGCGGCACCCAGGGGAGGGGGGACACAGAGAGGCGCCGGCTGGGCTCCCTGGTCCTGGCAGCCAGCAGGCCCCGGCGGGGAGGCCGTTACAGCAGGAGGGAGATGTGGGGAGGACAGGCACGTACTGGCCACTTGCGGAGGCTGGAGACTGGCGGGGATGGGGCAGAGCAAACCTCGGGACTGCCCGAGGAAGCAGCGGCCTGATCTTTAATTCAGCCCTGCTTGAGAAGGAGGAATAGCGCACGGTAAAAAAAGCACTTCAGGGTTGTTATAATGATCTTCAAAGCAGGAAATCTCAGAAGTTCAAGCTTAAGATGACTCTTGCAAGACTAGTGAACAGTTATGTTCAGTAACTTAGAGAAGGAATATGCAAGGCTGGATTATTTATATCTAATTGACCTTTTTTCCAGTCACCCAAAGATACAAACACGCAGCTCTGAGGAAGGAGAAGTTCCTTTACGTTGCCAGGATGCAGTGACACCAATCAATGCCTGAATGCAAAGCAATGCATCTGTAGCTCAGCTGGTAGAAGAACCTCTGGTTTTATCAGTATCCATCATTTAAGGATCTTACTGTCTGAAGGCTCCCTAGTTCTTGGGCCATCAGCACATGGGACAAGAGAGAGAAGCTGGAGTGTGCTGGTCTTTCTGAGAGGCAGCAGGTCCCTGCCCGCTGGCCTGTCGCGCTGTTTTCACATCTACCAGTTTGGATCAAACCACTCTGGCAGAGATGGTCCTGAATCATGTAATACCTTTTTGATCTTACCTTGCTTATACTTTTATTTTCAAAATGTTTTTTGGTTTTGTTTTTGTTTTTTTTTTCCTCACAAAGTAATTGGTTTGGGGCAAGGTTTGTATTTTCTGCTGCAGAGGCATGAGTCATGCATGTGGCTGTCCTTTATGATAAAGAGCCTCTCCTTAAAGCCAAGTGCTGTCGGAAGAAGACTGAAACAGTAAAATTGCTGGATGTTGACTACAAGTGGGTTACTAAAATGCAGGCAACAGAGATGCTGCTTCTGGATCTGGCATCTGTGACATAGCTTCCAGCAGAAAATGTTATTAAATGAATTAAATGAACCTGATGCTTACCACTGAAGTGATTCTGGTGTTGCTTATTGCTGCGTGGCTGTTCTGCTTCATGTTGGAAGAGAATCTATGCCAATCTTTCACTACCAGTTTAATACTGAAGCTGAAAATCTGCACAGCAAGTGATTGTAACAAAAAGCAATAGGAAAAGCTTTTAAAATTATTTTTTAAAAAAGCAATGGACCTATTAAAACGCTTGGTAAGAGATACGGTTCTGACTTACTCTTTTTAACACCTGTATCTGAGTTGGTGGATGAGTGTATGTATATTTATGTTCTTGTTTCCTGTCCTCAAACAAGAACATCTGAAGAATTCAAGAAATGTGATGTCAACACAGGACATGTTTTGAAAAGGAAGCTTTTATTCAGTATTGTAGAAAAGTTAGTTGCTGGGAGCTGCACTGAGTGCTGAGGAAAGGTTTCCTCCAGCTTTGTGTCACCTGTAAGCTAAAGGAGAGGGTGGGTTGGCAATTTGTCTTGCCCAGAGCAGAAGCTGAATGAACGGCTTTCAGACAGATCATCTGCTACTGCAAACCAGGCAACAGACTCAGTGTGAAACTATAATCCTGTTCCAGAGGATAGACACAGGCAAAGGCTCATTTTGTTTGAAAAGAACGCGTGGGTGAGGGGAAGGAGATTGGGGGCAGGATTGAAAAAAATTGAGGCCAAAATGCTTTTGTATCAGGATATAAAATGGGAAGGGTTTTTTTTATTAGGGTATATTACAAACACATGTCTGTTTAGTCCCAAAAGGGAATTAGGAGAGCCCATGAAGGTTGTGTGACCATTTCCATATTAATTGCCTGGTTTGAGAAGCCCAACCTTTTTTTAACTATGATTTGAAAGTGACGTTGTATAAGCCTTGCTTTCTGGTAGAATATTGACTATTTTTTGGAAGAATGCTGGTGAAGAAGTTGTGCTATCTTGTGCTATTCTTGATCGCCAAGGTGACCAAGGTGTACCTCCCCCTTACTATCTGGGATGTGAAGCAGTCACACAGTGCTCTTCTACCTTTTAATAAGTGTCTTGGCTTCCAGAATAGGTGGGGGTAGCCTGTTGGCATGTTAAGTTCTTGATTTGATGGTATACAAAATCTCTTTGAAAACCACGCTGAGAGTATACTTCGTATATTTTGTCTTAATGCCCTGTCATGAAGATTTGAAAACATATAGCTCAGAACTTGTTCAGTTGCCAGCTTGTTGCCTGTATAGAGAAGGATACAGTAAAATGGGTGTCAGCCTCTCGGAACACTCCTGCCTGGCAATGGATGAAACCCCGTAACTGCATTCACAGGCGTGACTGTAGGAGACGCTGCCTAATGTCAGGAACTGAGAGTGCTCGAGCTTTTCTTCCCGTTGTTTGCCATCAGCAGCCCCGTACCTTTCATGACTCCCCACAGATGTAATTTCGAGAGGGAGGCAAACTTGAACTTTTACAGATGAGGCTGGTGAAGAGGTGGTTCCTCTACCCTAAGACTTGTGTTGGTTCAAGTTCTTGCAGGTCAGTACACCTTGGGAAGCAGCTGTAAGGCCCATTTTCCTGTCGGAGTTTGATCTCTGTTTACACTTCTGATTTCTGTACCCAC